TATCAATGATATAAAAACAAGAGGAAATCAGTAGAAAAGATTAACTGATAAACTTCCATCTACTCTGATCAAGAAATAAAGAGAAACCACAAATTAACAGTACCAGGAATGAAAGGGGATATTACTACACACATTAGTAGTTTAAATTTTGAGCACATTGAGCCAATAAATTTAACAGCCAATTTAATGGGCAAATTCCTTTACAGATACAAATTAAGAAAAACAAACAGAAATAGAATAGTAGGTGTGTATATGATGATATTAGATTGATACTTAATAATTTTCCATCAAGGAGTGTTCAAGCCCAGATATCATTTCACAATAGAAGTCTAAGCATTTAAGAAAGAAAAAAATACCAATCTTATACAAAGCTCTTAAGAAAATAAAGGAGAAGGGAAAACTTCTTAACACATTCTGTCAGAGCAGCATTACCCTGATGCCCACACCAGACAAAGACATTACAGGAAAACTAAACTACAAGCCAATATACCTTAGAAATATATATGCAAAATTTCTTAAACAAAATATTAACAAGTCAAACTCAGCAATATATAAAAGAAGATAACACATAATGATCATAGCATAATCAGGCAAGAAAAAGAAATGAAAGGCATACAGATTGTAAAGGAAATAAACTGCATTTATTTGTAGGTGACATTGAGAGTATGCTTAGAAAATCCTAATGAATCTAGGAAAAGTTATAAAATTAATAAGTAAATTTACCAAGGATATAGGATAGATACAAAGTCAGTATGAAAAAAATCAGTCGTATTTTATAAAATACCAATGAACATTTAGAAAATGAAATTTAAAAATCCCTCTAAAAATATCATTAAGAATATAAAATACTTCAAATAAATTTAATAAAATATGCACAAGACATATATGAATACTATAAAACATTGCCAAGAAAAATTAACTGTCTAAATAAATGCAGAAATAAACTGTGTTTATTGTTTGGAAGACTCAGTGTGTCAGTTTTCCCCAAATTGTCAGTTTTCCCCAAATTGTTCTGTAGAGTCAGTCAGTGCAACCCCTATCAAAATCTCAATGGGGATTTATCCTGTAATTGATAAACTGATTCTCATAGTTAGGCTGAAATGTAAAGAACCTAGAATAGCCAAAAGAATTTTCAAAAAAGAACAAAGCTAGAGGATTTTGATTTTAAACCACAGTAGTCAAGATAGTGTCCTCTTGACCTAAGGAGAGTGTCCATAGGGTCAGTTGATTTTCACAAAAGTCCCGAGAAAGAGCAGTGTGACAAATGGTACTGGCATAATTAATTGGATATCCATATAGAAAAAAAAAATCAAACCTTAGCCTGTACACTACACCTTATATAAAAATTAGCTGAAAATAGATAATAAATCTGTATGCTTAAGGCTAAAACTTAAAACTTCTAGAAAAAGAGAAACTTTTGTCACTTTGGCATAGGCAACAATTTTTTAGGATACAAAAATACCCAACAAAATTTAATCAACTCGACTCTGTCAAATTAAAATCTCAAAAGACACAGTTAAGAAAATGTAAAAAGCCAATCAAAAACTAATGATGTAATGTATGGTGATTAACGTAACATAATAAAAAAAAATGAAAAAAAAAAAGAAAATGTAAAAAGCCAGAGACTGTGCAAAAATGTCAGCAGTACATCTGACAAAAACTTCTCCAGAACATACAAAGAACTATTTTAACTTAAAAAAAATGCATGAGCTCCAGTTAAAAAATGGGCAAAGCATTTGAAAAGATATTAAAAAATATTTTGGATTTTGGGGTAGAGAAATACTTTGAATATGACATAAAATCTTTTAACTATAAAAAATTTGATATATTTCACTCTATGAAAATTAAGAGTAAAAGACACCTTAAAGCGAAGACAGTTATAAACTTTGAGACAGTATTCACAATACATAAAACTAATAAGGAATTGTTTTCAAGAAATAGAGTAATCCTTTTCCTGCTTAGAACAGCTGATAAAAACCAACTTGGCCTCAAAATATAAAATTTTCTTTTGGTTAAAAGATTTTATTTATTTGAGAGAGAGCGTGCGCGTGTGTGCACGCACGAGCACGAGCTGGTGGGAGGGCCAGAGGAAGAGGGAGAAGCAGACTCCCTGCTGAGCAGGGAGCCAGATGTGGGGCTGAGCCACACAGGCACCCCGAAATACAATTTTTTTTTTAAGATTTTATTTATCCGACAGAGTGACAGTGAGAGAGGGAACACAAGCTAGGGGGAGTGGGAGAGGGAGAAGCAGGCCTCCCGCCGAGCAGGGAGCCCGACGTGGGGCTCAATCCCAGGACCCTGGGATCATGACCTGAGCCAAAGGCAGACGCTTAACCAACTGAGCCACCCAGGTACCCCATAAATCTTTTAAATATAAATATTTAAAAGTACCTATGTGTATGTTTATATGTGTGTCTGCATGTGCATGTTTGTGTGTGCGTTTGGAGGCATTGGAGAGAGAACAAGGCTGTGAGGAATTATGGGGCTGGATCTTAGGAAAATATGAGAATGCCTAGACAAGTGAGCATGGCCTTTGGGGCATCTTTTCTCCAGGTGTATTTTCTAGTTCCCGATAAGGTAGCTGAGAGACTGAGAAGCTGAGTAGAACTCTGCAGATTCTTGAGGCTAAGGATAAAAATAGTACTTATGGCCTTCTCAGAAGGGCTTTAGGTTGGGATCTTGAAGGGCTACTCCCTGGGAGTAAGGGTGAGTCAAAAAATGTCCTATCTCCTTCTGTCACAGGGATTAAAATTCTGTATCACAGCTGCTTAATGTCTAATTAGAGTAAGGTGATCTAGGATTACTAGTGCATCAAGCCTAACTGATTTCCAGAAGAAAAAATAAATCTTGTCTTGAGAAAGGTATCACCTGAAGCCTAAAATTGTATCTGAGGTTTTTCAATTACGTTGTCTGGCACTCAGTTAAAAATAATAAGCATATGAACAAACAAGACAACATGATGGAAGAACAAGAGGAGAAAACTATTGTATATTAAACATCAGTGATACAAGAATAAATGACACAGAGTATACACCCTCAGAGAGCTTACATTCTAGCTGGGATGCCAGACATGTAAACAACCTAAAGTTTTCCAGATAATGAAATGATCAGATACAGACTTCAACATGGTCAAGTACATAAAGATGGAATTTAAAATTACAGCAGAAAACTGAGAATGAAAAAAAAGAGCCTGATGAAAATTCTAGAATTGAAAAGTATAACAGCAGAAATTAAGAATTTGATGGGTTTAGAGCTGGATGGTATATCATAAGAAAACAGTGAACCACTAAGAAACAAAAGGATAGAAAAATACAAAAAAGATATAAGAGATAAGGGATTCCTTAAAAAGGTCTAGCATATGTATAATTGATATCTCAGGGGGAAAAAAGTGAGAGTGAAATAGGGACAGATATGGCAGAAAGTTTTCCAAATATGATAGAGGGTATCAACAAATTTGGTAAACCCTGCAATTAGAGTAGGATAAATACTTTCCAATGAAAGTAACACCCTAGCATATTATTAGAAAAGTCTAAAAACCAAAAGATATATACTCTTAAAAGCAACCAATAATAAAAGTCCAGTCACCTTCAAAGAAGCAGCAGTTAAAATGACAGCTCATTTTTCATTGGAGACTGTTGAAAACAGAAGACAGTATAGTGTGCTGAAACTGAGTAATTGCCATCCTAGAATGCTGTACTCAGTGAAAATAGATAAAGGTAAAATGAAGGCAGTAACTGAGAGAACAAACATGGAGTTGTCAAGGGAGAAGGAAAGTATAAAATGTGAGTGTAAATTTGGAATTGTGGCTTAAAATCTAATTTAATTTGAATTCTCCGTTACTGTGTCATCAAAATTCACTTAAAATGGAGCTCTTAGATGTCAGCAAATGTTTAAGTGCTTGGGTTCAATAGCAGTGCTAATTCTTTAAACAAATACATACTGAATATCTACTGTTTGCCTGCCAAGTCTGTGTTAGGTAATGGCAGTGTATCGAGAAGCAAACACAGAGGTAGTTTCTTCTTTCTGGAGCTCATATTCTAGTGATTGAAGTAATGATGGTGGGCTAGGGACAGAAATTAAACCAATCACCACATAATAAACTAAAGTCGCACTATGTAAGGGACATGGGAATATGGTTCCGTGATAAATTGACCTTTGCTAAGTCTGAAGAGAGAAGTTAGCTAGGTCAGGAGAGACAATGGTAGTGTGTGCAAAGACCATGTCAGGAGACAGACGATGCTGGAGGATTGGAAAGAAGACCTGTTTAGTGTAGCACAGAGAGGAAGAGTTGAGTTCTGTGGTAGATAGTCTCTCTCTTTGAAATAATATAGAATGAGAAGAAACTGGGCAGGTAAGCAGAAACTGCAGTGCTGATTTGGTGGCACATGTAAAGGATTTAGGGCTTTATCCTTAGAGCAGGAGGAAGCCTTGAAATCTATTGTACAGGTGGGTAATATTTGCAAATTTGCATTTTGAAAAGATTGCATACAGTATGGAGAATAGAGTGAAGGCCAGTAGTGGATATGGATGGATTACATTGCTATTATTGCAGTATTCTAGGTAGTAAGTGATGGTAGCTTGGGCTGATGTGCGGGCGCCAGAGTTAATGGGCATATTCCCTAGGTATTTAGGGGATCGATCTGACAGGGCTGGGTAATAGATTGAGTATTAGAGGGAGATAGAAGACGATATCAAAGTACTATAAACAACTATAAGACTTGCTTTATATTTAAATGATTACACATATTAAAAGGTGGGTTTTGAAAACGTTTAAAAGTGAAAGAATTGCTTGAATAAATTACAGATCATCTATACAGTGGAATGTTATGAGGCTGAAAGCGAGGTTTATGAAGAATTTTTAACGGTGTGGGGGAATACCTGTGGTGTTCCATAATAAAATAGAATGTGAAAGTCTACATAATGTGTGTTCTTAGCTATGTAAATTTATAATAATAGTGAAGCATACTAATTATCAGAAATGACTTTTTTTTGACATATAGACACCTCAAGAAGAACATGCTGTTAATGGTCCAGAACACCTGAGGAAAAAACGTACAACTTCAGCTGAAAGAAATACTTGTCAGCTTTATATTCAGACTGATCATCTGTTCTTTAAATATTATGGAACACGAGAAGCTGTGATTGCCCAGGTATTTATAATTTTGCTACTATTTTAGGAGTTCTCATACTGTTTCATTACACCTCTATTTTCCTCTAAGAATTAAAGTTAAGGCATATCCCTTTTTTGAAAAAAACAAAACCATATTTTCAATAATTATAAAATATGTAGGATAAGTACACAGATGACTAAAAGACCAGGTAGGATATTTTAGAATTTATTTGACAGAGAGGGAGAGAGAGCACAAACAGGGAGTGGCAGGCAGAGGGAGAGGGAGAAGCAGGTTCCCGCAGAGAAGGGGAGCCTGATGTGGGACTCAATCCCAGGACCCTGGGAGCATGACCTGAGCCGAAGGCAGACGCTTAACCAACTGAGCCACCCAGGTGCCCTAGAATTTAGCAAATCTTAATGTATCTTATTTATATTTGCATTACTTCCTCTCTCCCATCACCATCTAGAATAAATCTTTGTAAATTTATAGGGACCTTTTCTGTTTTTCACCATTGTATCCCCAGCACCTAAAACAGTGCCTAGTATATAATAAGTGGTCAACAAAACTTAAAGATTATGTGTACTAGTGCAGCAATAGAAAGACTAAAGTCAGAGAATGACTGAATATCCTGACATTATCAGGGAAGTTTTTTGTTTTTGTTTTTTTGGAGGGAGAGAGTACGAGAGAGCGGGAGTGGGGCACGGGAGTGGGCAGAGGGAGAGAGCTAATCCCAAGCAGGCTCCACGCCCAGGGCAGAGCCTGATGTGGGGGCCCTATCCCTCGACCCCGAGATTATGACCAGAGCTAAAATCAAGAGTCAGACACTTAACCCACTGAGCCACCCAGGCACCCCTATCAGGGAAGTTCTTACAGGAGATGTTTGAACTGAATCTGATGGATAAAGATACTCTAAGCATAAGGAAATAGCATGTGAAAAGGCATGGAGGTCTGACATTGCAAGATTGATTGAGGAAACAAAGTTTTATATGATTGAAGTAAGAGTGATGTTTGTTTCTGGCTGGAGAAGAGTCTGGAAAAGGTACAGAATCTTCCCTCTTAGCCCCAGCTCACTAATCTATTTCATCTTTTCATCCAGTATATGATGTAGACATTTTAAAATTTGAGTGTGGTGGAACATTCTTGATTCAGAAAATGGAAACTCACAGCCTTATTCACATTTTAATATTGCCTCTAAAATGTTCTTCTTTTTTTAAATCTATAGATATCCAGTCATGTTAAAGCGATTGATACGATTTACCAGACTACAGACTTCTCTGGAATCCGTAACATCAGTTTCATGGTGAAACGAATAAGAGTAAGGAATTTCAATAGTTCAGAACTTTAAGAAAGAGAAACAATAAGGACGTGTTTATAAAAAGAAAAATGCTTTTTACTTCATTTTTATGCATTAATAGTTTAAATTGTTTTGCTGATCGTTTATCTTTACTCTTGGCTTTTACACAACATGCGCAGACGCACACAGAGACACACACAGGGATACTAGGTTTATCATAAAAATGAAATCTATAGGGCTTTAATCTGGACTGCAAAAGAGGTACTGTCATCCTGTATTCTATCTGATTAACATGCCAGTTAGAAAGCCCTAGTCTCTCAAGAACTACAGATAGAGTACTTGACATTCCGCACCCCTCTTATCATTTCCCAGGTGTTTTTTTTTTTTTTTAAGATTTTATTTATTTATTTGAGAGAGAGAGAGCACAAGATGGGGGAGGGTCAGGGGGAAAAGCAGACTCCCCACTAAGCAGGGAGCCCGACACGGGACGTGATCCCGGGACTCTGGGATTATGACCTGAGCCGAAGGCAGTTGCTTAACCAACTGAGCCATCCAGGCGCCCTATCGTTTCCCAGTTTTTAAAGATTTGCCTTGTGCAGTATTTTTCAGTGTGTGTCCCATTTGGTGCTCTAGAGGAGGGAAGGATAGATAGAATGGTTAAATAAAATTGGAAGTTGGAAAAACACTTAGTACTATGCTCTCTTCTTGTAAATTCATAGTACAGACTAACGTATCTCAAATTTTGATAAGTCCTTCAGGAGAGAAACTCATAATTTTCAAAACTAATTTGACCATGGAACCTTTTCTGTATTAATGTCAGCTGAGAGTCCAAAGAACTGTAAAACACATTTTGAGAAATGCTCACCTAGAGCCACAGGTTCACTGATGATTAATTTTAAGGTTATAGATTTAAATAAGTAGATATTAAATTACTAACAAAATTGGGTTGTTTGGGCGCCTGGGTGGTGGCTCAGTTGGTTAAGCGACTGCCTTCAGCTCAGGTCATGATCCTGGAGTCTCAGGATCGATTCCCTCAGCGGGGGGTCTGCTTCTCCCTCTGATCCTCTTCCCTCTCGTGCTCACTGTCTCTCATTCTCTCTCTCAAATAAATAAATAAAATCTTTAAAAAAAAAAAATTGGGTTGTTTAATAAATTTTCCCAATGTGAATTCTTTCTATGTGTATAGGCTTTTAAGAATCTGAATTGAATAAAAAAAATAAAATAAAAAAAAAAAAGAATCTGAATTGAAAGCTAGATAAATAGCTTGAGTTTTAAAAAAAAAATCATTTTACAAAAGTATTTGCCATAAGGTTTCTTTATATTTGTGCTCCTAATTTTCTTAAAATATGATTGACTAATTCATAGTTTTTGTTCATGCATGTTATATATTTAATAGCATAGTTAAAGATGGTCCTTAGTAATATGATTAAATGTTAAATTGGAGTTTAAGGTGAAATGTGGTTTGTAGATAAACAATGGAAGAATTGTTCATAATCAGTTGCTTTCATGTATTTTGAGAGTAACTGAAGTCCTTAAATGAGCAAGTAAAAGTGATAATAATTATTGTTTAGTTGGCAAAGCAATAAAATGCAAGCTAGTGAAAAGTAAAGAATACCAGAACAAATTATAGTGAAGCATTTTTTTTTTTAGTACAATGATTTGCACTATGAAGAAATGCATGTATATGAATGGATAGTGTGGCATTTGGTTGTTTTCAAGCTTTTAACTAAATCTCATCTGAAGATTCCTTCTGACCCATTAATTTGAAATTTATATCAGTCAACATTTAAATATTATCTCATTTTTAATATAGGTAACTACAACTTAGATACAATTTTTATTTGTAGCCAATATTAAAAAAATCTCAAGGAATTTCATTTCACTATTTAGTGGGAAAAAGCCATCTATAGCATGTCTCTAAGCATGGGCTATTTATAACATATAGTGTGATTGCTTTTGGATTTTTTTGTGTTAGATGACCATTACTGATTGTTTTTAGTTGTTAATAGATAAACCATAAATCTGTCCTTAAGCAGTTGCCCGCAGTAGTGTTTTTGCGATCCTGCTTCTGAGCCTCTTGATTTTACTGAAGGGTGTGGAACCTAGAAAGACCTGCAGTTCTCATTTTATCAACTGTTATATCCTCCCTTTACTACTAACATTTTCAATAGACTGAGGACTGCCTTCTAAAGAAATGTTTACTTTCATGCATATCCCTTTTTATTCTGTATCAACAGTTGTATATGTAATTTTCTGACTTACTTGGGGAAAGACAAATTGTTCTAGAACTTCAGAGGACAGGCAGGGGTCTCTGAAAGGAGGCAGAGGCTAATAAATGAAGTTTCTGTTTAGTAGAACAAGTAGAAGCAGTTCAGTAGAACTGATTATTCTTCAGATTGTGAAGGAGGAACCTGCACTAGGAGTACAGTAGCTAAGTATCAAAAGAAACATTCTGGAGGAACTGAGCTTGATACAGTGAGAGAAGAGAATGGGGAGTAAAAAAAAAATTCTTGCCCACGTTCAGGGAAAAAAATTGAACTTGCATTTTGTTGGGCTTGACTCCTATGATTTTAGGCAAGCAGAACCAAGGAAATGATTTGGCTGTTGAATTGACGGTCTTGGGTTTGATATCAATTTCATGTTCTAGTAATTAGCTAAAATTTAGGGGTTTATATCCTTATACTTTCCACCATGTGCAGGAGATTAGTACTGAAAGAGACTTGCTCACATGATTAAATTTGAGAAACTGTACTTCCTTTATTAGAAGTTTTGAAAGCAGAACTTGTTTTTCCATCCTAAGTGTTCATTGTTTAGAAATTCGGTCAATACTTGCCCAGAAATTTTTAACATACTCAATTTTAATTCTCCTACTCAGCCTTTCTTTTTTCCTTTTTTTCCTTTTTGGTTTCTATGAGCAGCTCAGGGATGGGGGCAGTGGGAACAGTTGTAGAAGCCTTAATTCAGGCCTGATTTCCCTTGGGTTCCAAGCATATTGTCCAGGCGGATGCAGAAGGTGAGCAAAGACTTTACACATAGGCTCTGCTAACATTAATTGCCTATTTAAATAGTTGTCTTGGATTTTAGATCAACACAACTGCTGATGAAAAGGACTCTACGAATCCCTTCCGTTTCCCAAATATTGGTGTGGAGAAGTTTCTGGAATTGAATTCTGAGCAGAATCATGATGACTACTGTTTGGCCTATGTCTTCACAGACCGAGATTTTGATGATGGTGTTCTTGGTCTGGCTTGGGTTGGAGCACCTTCAGGTAGTTTATCCAACTATGTCTTGGCTTAATACTTGAAACAAGCAATTTTCAGGGCACATTGAATTTTATAAAAGTATAGTAGAAACTGATGCCTGTACAATATCTTAATTTAAAGAGCTTGAGTTAGGCAAGAGTCATAAGCATAGTGTAAGTAGAAAAATAGGTGGAGTAGCTTTTTATTTTGAAATGAGTACTAACAGGGAGATAGCCTGACATTTGGTACATTCAGTGGCTGAAATAATTTCATGAGGAAAAAGTGGTACTTATTTCTGAAAACAAAAATGAAATACTAATTTTTTCATAGAAGTTAATGTTATTAATTTAAAAAAATATTTTTCTGGGAAAGAGGTCCTTAGAATTAAAAGGGGAAAACTATGTTCTTGCTTCTGTTCTGCAATGAGATAGAGAGCAGAGAAACCCCAGTCAGAAGCAGTAGGTAGAAAAGAAAGACTGCCCTTATTATTATTTTATTTATAGCCTTTATTTTAACAAAAGGTAAGTGTTGCCTGAAAAGAGATGGAAGCAGGAGGCCCCAGTACCCCCAGCTCCACTAACCTCACCACCTGGGCCCAAACTCTGCTGGGGTCTTTGCCTTAGCCATGGAAACTGTTGTCACTAACAAAACTGGGATAGGATAATCCCCTTCCCCTTACAGTGGGGGTAGGGGGACTGTAATTTACAGTCTAATAAATTTAGGAACCTAGTTTAGAGAAACACAAATTTATTAGTTGAAAGATTGGGTAGAAACAATCCCAGACTCTTTGAATATAAATTTTGCCATATAGAGTTTGATCAGTAGTCTGTTATCTTCTGAGCTATATATGGTAATATCTCTTTCTTCTGATGTATCGTTTCTATCTTTTTAAAAGATAGAATGCTTTATGCAGGGTAAGGGAAGCTTTTCTATTCCTGTTCTTTAATTAGTTTATTGTTTGATCTGTGATGTATATTTTAACATCTTAAGTAGTAGTATATTTTAGCTTTTATATTTCTTGCTTTATTTTTAAAGCCAGCAATGAATATTACTTTCACAATTTTCAAAGCTTCTTTTGTTTTTCTTCCACATTTTCATGATGTCATTAAGGTGCAAATTTATGTCATGAACTATATATCATAGTACAGTATTTTTGGAGATTTATATTTGTCTCTTAGGTTGATTTGTCCTGGTTTTGTGTTACTTGCATTGTCAGAAGATTGTATAATCTCACTCTTTCCTATGATAATTTTACGTTTTATAACTTGTATATTCTGAAATTTCTTTTCCTCTTCTTGAATAAGTTGGATGATTTATTATAAAGTTTATGGTTTCTTCTACTTATTCATTAGTAAGTACTGTGAAAATTCAAGGGTTCATTTGATTCTTTGTTGCAAATTACCATTAGTATACTAAATTACTGTATTTTCAAAGTGTGTTCCTTAACTATAAGAACATCAGCATCACCTGGGAACTTGTTAGAAATGCAAATTTATGGACCCCACCCAAGTCTACTGAATCAGAAACTCTAGGTGCAAAGCGCAACAGTCTTTGGTTGAACAAGGCTTCCAGCTGATTCTGATTCACATTCAAGTTTGAGGACTACCATATTCATATTTTTGTCTCTAAGGAAACTTACTCATAGAATGGCTTCTGGGCAAGTGATTGGATGATTTCAAACCAGAAACTGTTTTACATTTTCAGCTTCAGACTTTTGTTCATTAGGAATGTAATGCTCCTGAAGGAGCTTGGTCAGTTTTTTAAAATCTTCAGATAGCCTCATGTCTATAGATGCAAAAATAGACTGTATTTTTAGGATAGTTTTAGATTCACAGAAGAATTGAGCAAATAGTATAGAGAATTCATGTACACCCCACCCATACATATTATTAGCAGCTTGTATTAGTATGGTACATTTGTTACAATTAACAAACCTATAGTTTCATTATTATTGTTAACTGACGTTCGTAGTTGATTCAAATTTTTTAGTTTTTACCTAAGGTCTCTTTTTTGTTCTAGGATCTCATCCAAGATACCACATTACATTTAGTTATCATGTCTCTTTAATCTTTTCTTGACTATTAGAGTTTCTTAGACTTTTTGCTTTTGATGATTCTTGACAATTTTGAGGAATACTGGTCAAGTATCTTGTGGGATGCCCCTCTGTTGCAGTCTCTTTGATGTTTTTCTCATGATTAAATTAGGGTAATGGGTTTGGAGGACAATTAGCCTTTATATCTAGTTATTTTGATATTTGGATCATTTTACTGAACAGCAGCGGGCAAAGTTCTCGACTGAAAGTCGGACATATGACTTGTATTTTTGTCATAGGTTCTTCATCTGATACCCTCTTCCTTTACTCTATGTTAAACCCCCAACTCCAGTTCTTAGAAGCCTTTTTCTAAGAGCTGTTGGGAAGGGGCTAGGGAGAGACAGAAGAATGGGGACCAGAGTGGAAAAGAGAAGGGATCTTTGTTCTTTTTTTCCCCAATATTTTATTTGAGAGAGAGAGCCCAAGAAAGAGCAGAGAGCACAAGCAGGGAGGTGGGGAGTGGGGCAGAAGCAGACTCCTCACTGAGCAGGGAGCCCGATGTGGGGCTCCATCCCAGTACCCTGGGATCATGACCTGAGCCGAAGGTAGATGCTTAACCAACTGTGAGCCACCCAGGCACCCTGATCTTTGTTCTTTTGAGCCAGCTTTTTCTAGTATAGGGTACCTGCCTTAACATGACATTGATGGTTTTCTCCTCTTCCCTTTGCCCTTTGACTACCTGAACTGAGTTTTATATTTGATTCACATTGTGTTTTTTAAAAAGATTTTTATTTATTTATTTGAGAGAGAGAGAGTACACAAGCGGGGTGAGGGGCAAAGAGAGAGGGAGCTTGAGCTGAGCATGGGGCTCGATCCCAGGACCCTGAGATCATGACCTGAGCCTAAGGCAAACGCTTAACCAACTGAGCCACTCAGGCACCCAACATTGTATCTTTTTATAGGGAATAATATATAATTGGTTTTATTGATTATTTCAGTACCCTTCTGAGGTGTAGGTATTACTACCTCCATTCTGCAGATGAAGAAACTTGGATTTAGAGACTTTGTGACTGACCCACAATCACACAGAACCCAGAGTCTAGACCTTTTGACTCTAGGTTCAGTGCATTTGGTAGTTATTCTACTAAGTATTATATACTGTAATATCCTAGCTTTCTCTAAGATGTTTCTGGTAAGAAGTTGAAATGTTTCCTGCATCTTAGTAGAGGTTTTGTATTGTTGGAATCCATTTTTTTGGAAGAGGAGTTATAACAGAATTCTACTCTTTATTTTTTTATTTTTATTTATTTATTTTTAAGATTTTATTTATTTATTTGAGAGAGAATGAGATAGAGAGCATGAGAGGGGGGAGGGTCAGAGGGAGAAGCAGACTTCCTGCTGA